ATGTAAGGTTTTTGTCGACCGACCTGGCCGCACGGTGGTGCCAGTCTGCACCAGCTCTGCCAGGTCCTTGTCCGCCGGGTCCTCCAGTTTCTCACACTGGCAGGCGTGGCTGAGGGTGCGGTCAGACAGCTGCTTCATCACCTGCAGCAGCCGCTCGCTCTTCGCGATGCGCTGGGCCGCCTGCTTCATCTGCCGCTCCGTCTCCGGCGTGATGTGGTCCATGGTGGTCGGCAGGACCTGTTGTAACACACGGCATCGTCAGAAAACAGTCGGCCTATTTCTACAGATACTGTAATTCACTTAATATTCACGGTAGCAAAAGTTCACGGTCTGAGAAGAATTATATGTTCACGACGGCGACAGGTGCAGAAAAAAGAAAGTCGACGAATTATTTGTTAACGGTAATGATAAGTTCGCGGTACAGAAGTGACCGCGAAAACAGCGAACATAAAAGTACCGTGAAAAAAACAGGAATTTTTAGTACATTGTATATGCATGATGTAGTTATATAGTTGAACTATAGCTAGTCATTTTGAGCGCCTCCTGTCTGCCTTACTGAGTTTTATATATCTTTATGGTTTGATACACCATGCGTAGGGTAAATAAGATGACTAATCCTAATCATTTTGAACGCCTCTTGTCTGCCTTACTGAGTTTCAGATCAAGACACTGATAGGAAGAAGACAAAAAGTGTATAAAAGTATCATCACCTTAATGGGCCTGCCGTAGACCTGGTCCACAATAACAGGAGGTGAGTCTGTGTTCCGGCGCCGGCGGTCCTTGCCGTTATTCTTCCTCAGGTCCGACAGTGAGTTGAGGGACTTGTAGACCTCCTGACTGACTCCCAGCTTCTTCTTCTGACCGCTGGGCAGGGCCACGACAGGGCTGTACTGGGCTGGGGAGGGTGTGCCCGCCACCAAGGCGTTGTACTGTACAAGGGAAAACGAAGAAAATTTAAAAACATAAAGTCATATAAAAACATGTTATCCCATCGACAGGCAACCCTATGGAACATAGCAATGTCACGTTGCAGTCGAGAGAAAGATGGCGTTTGCTGTAAGTCAAAAGTTTCAAAACAGACTAAAAGTGTTATAGTTATGTACACAACTACCCTTGTACACTATATATGTATTGCTTTACCTCAGCTGACTCCATCATCATTGGCGGGAAATCCTCAGAGATGTAACTCTCAGGGGTGGATCGTTTGGATGAGTTGGTGATGGAGGAAGGGGGAGGTGGAGGTGCGTGGGTGCTGGGTGCGCTCTTCGCGTTCAGCCTGGGATAGTCAGCAAGGTGTGGTGGCGGTGCACTGTTGAAGGAAGGCGCCGCACTTCTAACAACAGGCTCCGCTTCCGCGGTGGTCGCGGTCTTTTCGGGAGGTGACGGTGGAGGGACACGGTCACTGGGAACGTTCGTGATAGTAACGAGTTTCGGATAGTCGAAGATGACGCCGTAGTCGTTTTCTTTTGGGGGCGATGGAGCTCTGTTTACCGGCGGCGCCGCTTCCCTGACAGGGCTGCTCTTCGGAGGGGTCGTGGAGACCAAGATTTCGTCATCCCTGCGCAGGGGAGGTGGGGAGGGCGGCGGATAGTCGAACTGGACCAGGCGGACCTCTCCTGGGGTTTCCTCTTCAACCAGCTCGTACTCTACTCCGTAGATCTCCCCGTACTCGATACCCTCGTCCTCTGTAGGGCTGCAGGAAAACAGTTCCAAAAAATTGTTACGACATTGCTAGTTTGAAACAAACATTATGCGCTTAGCCAAAATGTTCTTAAAATAAGCTCACTTTCTGTAATCATAATGTTACTTTTACGTTTATGCTCATGGACAATAGTGATCACGCAGGTATAATTTGCTGTGTAGTTACTGTACCTAGATGAATGACTGGTGTTCGTTTGCTTGT